GAAGCTATGAATGAATTATGCGAGTATCGAATAAATTCTAGCTGCCGGCCAGATTTTAGTGGGCGTTGCGTAATCAAAGTGACCTACCTACTTACTTATTGCTGTCGGCACGTGTGTCAGCTGACGCGTCATGTCATCACACGTACATACATGTACACACAAACAATTGTAGAGACAGACAGACAGACATCACCTTGAATTACAAATGCATAAGTGCTTTGTCAGCCGACTGACTAAAATGATGTCTGGAATTGAAGGAGGGGGCCCTGATTAATATGCGCGCTGAGCAATTTGTGTGCGCCCCTATAGAATACACATCCTCATACATATGATAATGTGTAATTGTTGTCTAATTTTTATTTGCCATACTTTTCCACAGAGACATCAATTACAGCGCTGAGCATTGAAATTTAAATCCTTTATTCAGAATTCAATAGACGCGGAAATCGAGGTGTAAGTAGTACCGAGTTCTCATCAAAGCTAAAGGTTTGTGACACAAATAGAATATCGTCGCTTTCAATGGAACACAAAAAAAAAGATAATGACAATCTTTGCATATCAATTTTGTATGTTTTCTATTTGGCAAAAGAGCTATTTGTTTCCATTTACCGCACAATGACATCACATTCACATGAAACTGCAAGTTTGAATTTTTTATTGGATTCTCATCAGACACCCCAACCCCAATTCCAGGGGTTCTCACTAGTTATAGCAAACAAATATTTAAATAGTTTAATTGTCATACAATTTACAAATCAATAATTTTGAGTTTGAAACATAAATAGAAATTCCAAATAAATTGATTTTGCAAACACGAAACTATTGAAGCAAACACAAATACTACATATGTATATTTTATAAACATAATAATAAATTAGCTTACTTCAAAAGAGAATTTCCCTAATTGAATTTAATTTGTTTTTTCGTTAACTACGAGCTAAATTCAATAATTCAATAACATAACAATGGTTTAAATGCCGTGTTATCTGCGTGCTGTACGCGACCAATTAATTGATTCAATTATTAATTGAGATTTCCGACAAATTATGAAAAAAGTGTTATCTATAAATGCAAAAAGTAAGCGTGAATTGTTTGTAAATATCATTTCTAATGCTTTAATAATAATTTCTTTGAATATGTAACTATTTGCGTATGTGCTCGTGTATATAGATATATGTACGTATCTGCTCAAAATACATTTAGTACGTTTGAAGAACTTGCTCTTGTTTTCAGAAAATTATCAGTGAAACACTCGACACTATGGAAACAAAACCAACAGCGGAGAAAAATTGTTGCCGTCACAGACGTCAAAAAAAAGACCAGAATATTTCCCGACTCATCGAACAAACTTATAAACGAACATAGACAAAGCGTTGATTGGATTTAAGTTGACAGTAAAAAATGACAACAAATGCGTGTTTCATTTATAAATATATTCTACTTTGCCTGCCGAACACAACACAAAATCGGTGCAGGCCAAGAAGGCGCTGAAAGATATCGACGCGACGGCCAGTATTCCAACAATCCAGTCGCCCTCGCATTAACACCCGACCCCAAAGCCAAACCAAACAAATTGCAGACAAACAAACCCCGGCCGCAAATATTGTGCTCATTTTCATTCTGCCTAACAGAGCCAATGTATGGTGGTAATACTTATGATGAGTAATGCGAATACGAGGAGCGTGTTCTGAATTTTGTTTCCAATTTCGATTACACGAAATAACAGCTGTGTTTATGTATACGTATCAAAATTTGACTTTCGAACAAGAGCAAACTTTAGTGTCACTCCATGCAGAAGCCTTAGTGGAATTCAGAAGCATAACGCATAACTGCAAATGGTGCAACATATTTATACACTTTTCGTAAAACATAGCGAACTGCAATAATGAAAATTAATTTCCTATTTCTTTCCTTCTTCCGCTGTTATTCTATTGCTAACCTATCTCATATCACATTTTTTCATTCCGCACTGCAATCGCAGTCCATCATAACAAAAAAATTATGAAACAATAAATAGAATGTTAATTAGCAACGAAATGCGAGACTTTAAAGTTTTAATTGATTGGCGCCAGTCGACGACAGACAAATAAACAAACAACACTCATTGAACTCGAAGCCTGCTGAAGAAACTCGTAACTTTTTTGTGGGGCGTGTGGAACTCATAAATACCCTGTGTTTGGTCTAAACTAGTGATGTAAATCCGAAATGAACATCGGAAACAAAAATCGTCATGACAAACACCGATGCAGCGATGTATCGAAAAACTTAACATCGATGCATCGATTTTTAATCGAAATGTGTAATTTAAAACAAGGGAGAACAACTTTTAAATTAAAAGTCTTAAATTCCGTATACCTATGTATTTACAACTTTATTTGGCACGGTTCCTTCTTTATATGTACATACACGGATTCACTCTTTACTATAAAAGCTTTGTGTATTTCCCGGGATTTCTCTGCTTGGTGGCAATGTCCATAAAATCGAGGTTTTTATAAAAATCGATCGGAACATAGAATCTAAAAACATCGAGTTCAAATCGAAAACAATCGCTAACATAAAAATCGATACATCGATGTATCGATGCATATTTATATTACTAGCCTAAACACAATTTAACTGAAATAATTTTAATTAAATTAAAAATTCTATATTCAACATGTATTTAACAAGGTACAGGGTATAACCTTGTAAAGGGTATATTAGGTTTGTGCAAAATATGTAACATGCAGAAGGAAGCATCTCCGACCCCATAAAGTATATATATTCTGAATCAGCATGACGAGAGAAATCGATCTAGACATGTCCGTCCGTCCGTCCTTCCGTCTGAACGCAAGGATCTCAGAAACTATAAAAGCTAGATTAACCAAAGTTGGCATCCAGATTCTCCTAGGTCCGAGAAAGGACGAGTTTATTTTATTTTTTGGAATTTCCCCCCCTTCCCCCGCTACAGAATTTCGTCAATAGCGTCCACATTTCAAATACTACCTAAACTTGCACACTTAATTGTGCAATTGTGCAATAATATAATTGTCTACTGTTGTTTATCCAATTCGGTCAATTCTAAGAAAAGTTATTAGCGAAACAAATTCTCGCCAGAGCAACTCCCCCAAACTGCAGCAACAAGTTCGCTCTTCTTCTTCCTCTTTTTGCTGATGCTATGGGCGCATATACCTCAATGTCGGAAGTTTACTTGGGTACAGGGTATTTCACTGTCGGGCTTGCTCGACTGTAGCGTTCTCTCTTGTTTTAATTAGGAACATTTACACATGATTTACACATAAAAATTGTTTAACAAAAAACGTGTGTTAAGCTACAGATCTACACATCTGATAATGGATTTGAGGAAATCAAAACTAAAGGATCAAACAAGGAACAATTTGATTTCTGTGATTTAAAATTTGGATGAATTTCAAATTTGATTGATATACACCTAATTCTGTTTTTACACGCTCTTTTTTTTTACACAATTTTGATATAACACGGTTTTAAAATTAAAAATTTCATATATGTATATTTCTTTAGACATAAGAAACCAATCAACTATTTTTGCATATGATCATGTCTTTTTTTACACGGTTGTTTCTTGAATCAATCTACCGTGTAAAAACAGAATTATTATCTGGGGCTAACACTTTCGCGGCTACTCCGCTAATAAAGCAGTTCTGAAGGCGGTTGAATTCTAAACTGCTCAGCTGCTCAACTCAAACTGTAATATTAAATAATAAATTAAAGGGATTTTCATCGACCACTTAAAACACTTATAGGTTAACAAATGCTCCAAATACGAATGAATACGAGTATGTGATGAAAAATGTAAAAGCTCGGTTGGCAGAGCAAACAATTTTGTTAAATGTGCACAAAGGAGCCACAAAACGGAAATGGCAAAGGGCAGGAAACAAAACACAAAACGCATTAACACTTAAACCCATTAAGGTTTATAGCCAATGTATGTGTGTATGTATCATATGTATGTTAAATAGGCCACTTTTGCAGTTTCTTATGTTCTCTACTATTCATGATAGTAGTAGATATCAAAACAAATTGCGTTTTTTATGGGGGGTTTCTATTAAAACCAAAATGAATACTTGTTATTATATATTTGTAACATGGACTAGAGTAAAAACTCCGGCAGACACTTTTCTTAAAACATTCGATCGGTGTATAAAGTATTAAAGTTCCCCTTAAGCGGACACTCCCCTTGGACGGACAAAAATTGGCGGACTGTGAGTGTCCGGCCAAGAGAGTTTTCACTGTAAAACAATACTTGAAGCTCTTATCTAAATTGAAAACTGTTATTCTTGAATCAGAACTTATTTAATAATACATATATACAATAATATAAAAGTATAATAATATAAACAACCAAATTAGGTAAACATTTTAAAATATGTGTTGAAATAGAAATTGGTTCCAAACCGGCAGGGTATCAAATAAATCATTTAGATTTCCATCAGCTAGTATTATAGCAATTAGTCCAACTACAAGTAGTACTTGTAATCATGAAAGCTCTATTTCAACAAATCACACAAATATCGCAATGCGATATTAAAAAACTGCACTGACGCGTATACATATTAATAAAAAGCTCTTGGAAAAAAATGTACAGCCTCTAAATTTTAATAAATTCGAGTTCTCGGAATGAAGTCTTTGTATACGCCTTTGAAATGTATGTATGTCTGTAAATTCTGTGAATTCTTATACATGCATACCCAACTCTGAGATTAAGCGTAAGACTTTGAATTAGTAGTTGTATTGCTGTATTATTTATAAATAAATTCCTTAATGATTAAGTAGGCGACTATCGATAAATTAATTAAATAAAATAAATAAATATAGAAAATATAGGAATTTACAATATACTATACTTCTCCAAAACCTTCAATATAGTAAGTAGTATTACAAATTGCACCAATTCTGTCTAGTTTCAAGTTAAGGACCTCTTATGTCTGCCCTTTAAAATCCCTATTAGCAGATATGTAGGTTTGGAGGATAGGTCTTACCTTAGATTTGGAACTGCTGCGGCGGCTGCAGCTGCGGCTTGCAAAGGCGGCGGCACATTGTAGGGGAACGGCAGCTTGGCCGCTACGGCTGGGTTCTCGAAGAGCATTCTGTTGTCGTTGCTGCCCGACTCCTGATCGTTTGCTCTGCCGAGGGAATTGGCGGTGTTGGTGGAGTTAAAACTGATGTTGTAGTAAATTTTGCAGGCTGTTTATATTTCAGCACGTACACAAAAATTTAAGTATTTATTTTCCTTTGTTTTTTATGTGAATATCAATTTAAATTTTTTTTCTTTTTATTGATATTACAGTAGTTATTTGCTTTTGTTTTTCTCCTTGTGAATTATCAATTTGTATTTAATTGATATCCTAATTAGGAATTTAATAACTTTTCCACTTATCTTATGCTTGAGCACTTGTTTTTAGGTTTTACACATTTTAACGCATAATTTTATGCTGTAATTTTCTGTTGAAATAAAAGATTTTCTTGAGAATTGCTATTCATACAAACATAAACACACACACATATAAACATGTACACATATGTATAAGCTGTAGGGTGTATATATAGGAGTACATTTACCATTAATTGTCTTTCCCTTTTACCTATAAATGAATCAATTAAGTGGAAATGAAGAGCATGCAATTATAAACAGCTTTAATTTGCATGCTCGTTAGGTCCCTTAATACGTGGAATGCGTCCATATATGTACATTCATATGCATAACTATATATGTATGTATGTATGTATGTATGTATATTTGTATGCTCAATCACTATCACTGCGAACTGGCCAACACCGACACCAACGTGTGAGTTGTGTTAACTTTAGTTACGGCTTTTATTCCTGTTTCTGGTTTGAGTTTTGCTTTTACTTTCGTTTCGTTAAGTGTGTTGTTGGCCGGTGCTGTTGTTGTTCTTGTTTTTGTTATTATTGTATTTTGCTGCTATTTCCTTTTGAGCTTCAATGCTGTTTGCTCTGGTAGCTGTCAGCTTTGCCGGCTTTTTGACGTCTAGAGCGAACGCTTTGATACATCTGTTTGTGTATGTGTGCGTGTGTGTGTATGTGTGCGTGCGTGTTTGAGTGTTGCTGTGCGTCTCTCGGTGACTTTGTGTGTGCGAAAAACTTGCTGCCTGGCAAACTGCCGCGTGTGTTTTAATTTTTTTTGTTGCTTTTTACTACAAAAATGTTGATAAAGACTCTTCTTGTTATTGTACGCGTTGTTTTTGTTTCTTCTGCTGTTTGTGGTTGTTGTTATTGTGGCTGCGCTGCGTTGTGGCGTCGCTTTGATAAATTTCACATGTAGCGTTTAATTAAAATTTTATATTTTTCTGATATTCGCTTTAGCGCGGAATACAGCAACAACAACGAAGGGGAACACTTGACGTTTTAGTGCCGTTTTTGTTTTAGAATTTCTTGTGCTCGCTCGAACTAAACCAATTTTTTTGGTTTATTCATAATTTATTCAGTTTGCTGCCTTGCCATATAAAACAAAATAATAATACCAGTGACTGAATGCAGAGTACAGTGTTCAGCAAATTACGCACACACAACATACATATAAATGTAGAAACACGCCGCCTAAAGACGCACGTCAACATTTTTGCGACGTCACTAAATTCGCCGCATTTATATGTACTTTACTTACACACGCACACACTCAAACATACTCGTATATGTACCAATACATACATAAACATATCCATATAAGCTTTTTTCTACCCAAAACGCAGCAGCAGCTTACTTGTCTCGCCTTACTTTTTTGCTATCTTGCCTTTTTAGTGTTTTTTTTTCTTATTCGCTGTTAAGTCTGACTCTGAGTCACGAACCCACTGCAACACTCTCAAATAAGCAACGAGTAACAAAAGCGTAACGAGGAGATTTTTGTCCGCACAGCGCAAGGAACTTTTGTCAACTGAAAGCAAAGCGAAGGAGCGCGCGACCATTCGTCGTTCAGATGTGGCGGCGACGCCATTGTGTGGCAAAAGCGAAGAGCATTTTGAGACGAAGTTCGCCGCATCAGAGCGGAGCAAGCTTCGCCGCTCTTTGCTGCTGACTATCCTGGTTATAAAAAAAAAAAAAAATTGCACCGTTGCCGATGCACGTTAGAGTGGCCCCACATTTTTATGTTTTTGCAAAGTTCTTGGTAATGGCTCGGCAAATTACGACGAAGCATCGAAATCAAATTAGATTCTGAAAACTGTGCTGTGGTTAATTTTTTAATGGCATATGCTAGACTAAATTTAACATGAACTATTGCTGTAACTGATTCAGCATTCGGCATAATCTCTTCACTACATATAGTGTGACCGTATTTAGGAAATTTTGGTTGGCTTCACTGCAGACATTGTCCACTTTTCAAAATTATTATCAAATCAAAATCGGTCAACCTTAATTAAAAAAGTTTGCTTTCCGAATTCCCTTTTATTTGTCTACTTCCGTCAACTGATTGTTATAGATTAATCGATTACAAATTAAAATTGAATCGTTTCGAATCGCGATTGATAAATATTTCAAGGACTTTTTCTAATATACTTGTAGGCACTAAAATTCCGTCAATACAAGATCTCACAATAAATATGCGATTTTATCGTGTTTTTAGACAACACAAACATTATCGGTTACAATAATATTTATGCATTTTTGTTTTATATGCCTGCCGAAAAAATGAACGGTTTTAAGAATCAGCCTTATAGGCACACATAGGCATATGCAACATGCGGCCATGTGCAACAGCAGCATGACTCAGCTAATGACGGTGGCAGCGACGAAGAAGACGACGGCCAAAGAGGCACCTTCATTGCGTCCGCCTTCGCCTGCGGCTCAGAGCCTAACAGTCGGCGTTAGTTGCAGTTCCAGCCTCAGTCTCAGTCTCAGCTGTAGCCTGAGCTTCAGACAGCCTCAGAGTCAGCCTGTAATCATTTCCGACGTGCTGTTCCCCAAACAATGGACCGACAGTTGCAGTGCGCCAGCGACCGACCGTTCGTCCCTCGACTGTTATGGCTGTCTGCCTGTCTGCCTGTCTGTTTGTCTCCACACACGCTTTATTTTCTTCTTATTTCGTTTTTCTTTGTTTTTGTTTGTGTGTGAGCGTGTGTTCTGTTTCTGTTTCTGTTGCTGCTTCTGCTGCCTTTAAAGCTCAGCTCAGCTGACGTCGTCGCCTTTGTTTATTTTGCTGGTTAAGCTCTTCGTCGCCTGGTCGGTCGGTGTGTTTAAAACAAAAACAAAACCAGCTCGAAAATAATTGTTTAATTTATTATTGCGTGCCTTTCACAGTCCCATTCGTATTCTGCTAACTGACTGACTGACTGACTTTGCTCGCATACGTCTCTGATTTATGTAAATTATCGTGCGTTTCATTTGCCAAAAATGTGTTTTATTCTCTCCCTGCTTTGTTTTTAATTTGATTTTCACGTTTAGCGGAGCATGAGAAGGAAGTTTATTCAACTTGAGCTTTGACTTGGCAACCAAATACAGAAAACAGAAAACAAAAATCAACATTCATTTGAACATTTGAGCAAAAACAGCCTGCCTTTATTATTATTACCTCTCCAATATTAGCTTCTCACTTTCGGAAATGTCTCATAACTTTCCACTTGTGATTCAATTGATTGCAGTCCAGGCCTAAGCTCCTTTGCTAATTTCTAGCCACTTCGTCATATCTAATTACATGAGTTCTATGAAATTGCGGAATTGTGTTTTCTCGTCGCCAGAAATACATACATATGCACATACATATGAACATATGTATGTGTGTTCATTTCCATTTGCTTGCCACTTATCGCTCACATTGAATGATATAGAAACTCCGACTGATAAATTGAAGATAAATGGACACACACACATACATATGTACATAGAGGCATACATATGTATGTATGTATCTGGCGTATGGTTTCCAATTATGCGGTTTCTTTGTTTACATACTTCTTTATCAGCAAACAATTGCTCTTTCCGTTTTCATTTTAAATATTTTTAATTTAAATGACAAGCCTTGCTTCGCATCCAATTTTTTGAAACCCACAATGAACTCTATTTTGGTTTATCAGCTTTTTATGTATGTATATCAAATACTAATCCTATAATCTCTGCCACAGCTATTAACAAAGATTCTAGAACAACCCTGAACTACTTGTATGTTTAAGTAACAACCGATATCTAAGCCATCGATAAAACTCAATGAAATGGACAAATTTCTTTAAAACCGTTGAAGGCCCATTTTAGAATAAATATCGAGAGTCGGATTAAAAAACTATATAAGCATATTTATAATGAGATTTACTATTAAAAACATCTATGAATATACTTGGAACAGGAATCATTCAAGCATCACAACCTGACAATCTAAATTCCAACTAATATTTATACTTTCCAGCTAGTAAAGCGCTTCGAACTAGGAGAATATGGAATTATTTTTACGTACGACATCCTGATAGACCCAATATGACCGAATTATAATAAGAAGATTCGTTTTCTACTTAAAATAACTTCAAAGTCTCTTTCAGGTAAATTGAAAAACTACAAGTCAACAAAATAAACCTTATTGGATGAAACTATTATTGCAACTATTGTAGATAGAAATAAACACTTTGTTAATATAATGTTGAGATCTTCGTCGTCAGGTTTTATGGATCTATCCAAGGTCTATACCAGACAGAACTGAGCAGAGATTCTATTGGAACTGCCGTCGTAGAAGTAATGTTTTTTTTGGCCTCATGTAGCATTATTTAATTAATTCTTAACCAACAATAATGTTGTGCTGTCTGCACTCAAGTGGAAGGAAGACTTTAATCAATCGCTTTTGTTCATTAGGTTTTAGGCAGACACCTTAATTGGCGTATTAGCCATGAAATCAATTGGTTATTTCATCAAACAGCTGACAGCAAAAGTGATTCATTCGCTCCTGCCATCAAACACACCGATTATTTGACGCATTTCAGCATATTTTAAATAAATGCATCCATCTGGAATGCTGTGTTTGAAATGGCAATTATATTCCTTAATTCGTTATTGCCAACTTTGACAATTTGAGCGAGCGTTTGCAATTTAACACGTAATTTAATTTCGGGCGTGTCATGCAATTGTGGCGGCGCTTTAATTTAAAAACATTTTTTCAATTTGCAATAAACAATTGCACACACGATATGTTACAGGTCTAGCGATTGTTGTTATTCTGATTGTTGCTGTTGTTGTTATTGTTGCTGCGTTTGTTATTGTGGTTCTGAAATTGCAAATTGCTGTTGTTGTTGTTGCGGTTATTGGC